AGGAGGAGGAGGAGGAGGAGGAGGAGGAGGAGGGGGGGACGGAGGAGAAAGAGGAGGAGGACAGGACAGGACAGGACATCATTGAGGGGGTTGACGTCAATGCGCCCGCTAAGGCGCAGTGTAGAACGTATGCGCAATTCCCCGCGTGTGTGCTATGCAGCAAAGACCCGACAGCCTTTCCACACCTTAGCGAGGGAACTGCCTTTGCCTGCGCAGAAGCGTGCACGTTGCCCTGGTCGCCCCAAGTCCTCACCTCCCCCCCTCCTCCACCACAGGCGAGCGTGCGGCCCGTTCGTAAGGAGCCCTGCACTACCAGTCAACAGCCCTCCGATGAAACCAAGGGGTGCGGCACCGATGGCACTGTGTTGCCAATGGCGCGTGCGAGCAGGCCGGCGCAGGAAGGAGGATCTCGTGAGCCCCTCTTTACTGCGCGAGCCAAAAGAGGAGGAGGAGGAGGTGGAGGAGGAAGAGGAGGAGGTGGAGGAGGAGGGGGAGCACCAGCAGGACAAGAACTGGAGCAGGTGGACGACGGATGACAAAAGTACCAAACAACGGAGGGACGAGAAGGAAGAGGAGGAAGGAGGAGGCGCGCTAGCCCCGGGGGGCGAGGAGCGAGGAGCGTGGTTCTGGGCGGCGGGCCATTTCCGTGGCCCGTCGCCCAGCGATGGGACAGCCATTCGTGGCTTGTCCCGTCTCCCGCGACACTTCGCCTCCTTGCAGGGTGTCCCGAGTCCCTGGCCGCGAGGCGCGGTCAAGCGGGGGTGCCTGGGCGGCGTTCAAGGTTGAAGCCGAGGTGTCCCGAGGCGCACCCCCCGCCGCGAAACACGGTCAGCCGTCCCACGCACGAGACTCGCGCACACATCCGAGATTGAAGAGGACGAGAAGGGACGCCTATCATTAGGGTCGCGCCGGGCATCCCCCCTATTTCTGTGGGTGCAGGACCCCTGGGTGGCATGCCGGCGCTGGTAGTCGTAGAGGAGAGCCACCTGGGGGCCGTGCTAGCCCCTTAAGCAGGTCCCCCCGAGCCTGGGACCCGACGCCGGGCGAGGGGGGGGCTAAGGGGGGCACGGGTGCAACGCAAGGGCGGGGGGCAGCTTTGTCAGCATCACTTCTCTGCCACTGGCCAGTAATGAAGGCTGAAGATGCAAGCGGAGTGAAAGAGGTAGCAGGAACATGTCAGAAAGACTCAAAGAGGGAAAGGAGATGGAACGAGAGGGGGAGGAGAAAGAAGAGAGGAGAGCCACATGAGAGGGCGTGGGAGTGAACGGGAAGCGGAATACTCACACGGCGAGGGAAAGGGGCGGGGGGGCATTGGGGGATGATGGCAAAGATCGCCATGGGATGGAAAAAGGAGGGACCGGGATGGAAACGGAACAGAAGGCGTGGGAAATGCCTCACAGAGAGGGGCAAATCCAAAAGCCCACCAGATGTAGTGCGGCAATAGGGCTGGAAATCTCATTTTCCACACCCTCTCGTTCCGAGGATTGCCCGGCATCCCCCAGAACGGTTGCACTGGGATGAAAATCGGTGGCACGCAGGAGGATTTCCAATCCACGGGACGCGGTGTCTACAGCGAGCCTGTGCAACGCTGCAGGGATACCTGGCTGGATGGGTGTTTTTGCTATATACCTTGTAGTTCGCTGAGTTCTGGAAGCCGTCCAGTAACGGGGAAGGAATTAGGAAAACTGCCGGGGAGCAACTAGGGTGGGAAGAGGGAGCAAATGGGAATGGCAAAATGGGGGAGACGTGACCGAGCAGAGTGCCTGGGGGTCGGGAGGAACGGGATGCGGGTGGGCAGATGAGGGTGATATAATCGGTGGGGGTAAGGTACAATGCGAACGGGGGGGAGGGGAGGGAGCGGGGAGGGAGGGGGGAGAGGGCGGGGGCGGGGAGCGCGATCAGGAGAAGGATAAGGAGAAACAGGAGGAGGAGAAGGAGGAAAAAGCGGAGGAGGAGGAGGAAGACGAGGTGAGGGAAAACGTATATTCGTCATCGCAGCAAGGACGATTGTCCAGGAACCTACCCAAGACTTCCATGTCCGCGAAAAGAGCGCGAACAGGGGAAAACAACGTCAACTTTGACGCGGGAATCAATACATGAAACAGCCGAGGCCTGATGACAGGGGGTAAGGGGAGAACCGTAAAGCTTGCGGTAGAAATGGGCTCATAATGAATGTATGCGATCGCGAGATGTATCGTGGGTTTACGGAGGGCGTCAAGCGATAGCGTTGCGCTCGAATCGCCCCTGCACTCCTCATTGGCATACTGGCACTTTGCGGCAAGCGTTTCTTGTGCGCGGCTGGAACCTAAGCCCGCGCGTGGATCTGGTGTATATATATATATACACACTAGAACCATCGCGCGCGCTCAAGTTCTAGCTAGGCTTGATCGGCAAACTCATGCAATTTCAGTTTGGTCGCTTCTTGCGTCCAGGGACTCCCTTGGAGGCCCTGCGCAAGTCTCGTACTCGTATAGAAGGGGAGGTGCAGAAACTCAGACCTCATTAATGTTTTAGGTATTCAACGAGTTGGGGCCCTCAACGGCTTCCTGTTTTTTGTTTTGAGGTGAGGGGGTCTGAATTGTGGTC